TATATATATATATATATATGTGTGTGTACACACGGATTACTTCACTATATTACTATATTCACCATGTAACTTTTTAAAATATTTGTTTTTTGTATTGTCATAAAAATTACTACAACTGGCAAATTTAGCGCTTGTAATTTTATGTTGATTGAATAAATGAACCGAAGATGCTACACGTTTTTACATTTTTTAACAATAACGTATATATGAATAAATAAATAATTTATTAAAACCATAAAAATGTTTGTCATTCGTTATTAATTTTAAGAACATATATCAGACGTGTCAATGTTAATAGAACCATTGACACGAAGAGCGACTAATTTCGCGCGTATTATACAAGCAATCTGCAGCTTCGTGCACGCAAGATGCCGTGCAAATTATTTTTGCGAATTGTACTCGTATTTTGCTCGCGGCACTAAAAGCCGCGCCTCTTTTCAGCACTCTATATGCATTTCCGATAATTATTAATAACGCGCAATAATACATGACAAACACATAGTCAATATCTTTTTGTCTTCTAATCACAATCATATTCATAATAAATATTCATAATAAATATTGAATAATATATATTTTACATCATTTATAAAATATTAAATTAAACAGGTACAAGAGAAATCTTCGTTAACAAAATAATTCAATTTCAACACCAATTAAAAAAATATTACAATCGCGAATATAAAAAAAATATACAAAAAGAATAAATCAAAATAGAATTAGATCAAAATTTATTTACCAGATTGAGAGCTTCCCTGTCCGAGTCCATGGAGTCATTATCAAGATGCGCCTCGGTAGCATCTTGAATGTCACTTGCGATACTCCTGTCATCTCCGCTAAGTTCAGGACCATCGACATCCCCATGCAAGTCTGCATCTGCAACAAATAACAATCTTGATCTCTGAAATATTTGTTCGATCTAAATTTTTTTTTGTTTAAATTTTTTATGCCTGATAAATCTTTAAAATTAAATCTCTGTTTTTACTCTTATTAAGCACTCAAGATGTAGCGCAACATTGACGTTTCAAGACTCAGAACTTAAAATATTTATATTTTTAGATTCCGTATTTTATTATCAAATTTATCAGAAAAGAATTGTGCTATTGTCGTACAATCGTTATTGTTCTGCGCTCTATACTTCTGATGATGGTATCGCGTGGGGGTGCTGGTCGGCGTGCTGGTGGCATGAAGACGCATATCCGCGAAGATCATCCTGGACTCTTCCAGGAAGACCATCATAGCTTTCCGTTTCGTTCGTCGTCCCTACATTGGGACGTTTCTCGAGGTCCAGCACGGCGAACGATTTCTCACGCGAAAGGGATCGCGCTCGGCGATCCCACGTTGATCTATCGATCGGCGCGATCCCATTGCGCTTCGGAAGACATAAGACAAAAAAAAGCTGTGCACTCCGATAAAAAAAAAAACGCACCGATTGTTCACGTTTTTTCGCGCAATGTTAACTGACGATCGATTGAGAAAATAATTAAGTTTGCAATAATTGGAACGGACGTCTTTGAGTTAATTATCGTAAACACCTCATTAATATTTATGCGCAGCGATTGACGTGAGTTTAAGGATCCATAAAAAAAAACGGTTTCGAAGAAGCTGGTTTGTCGGAGATCGTTTCGAGTCCTAGAAGTCACTGTTGATCTTCGTCGACGAACTGATACAGAGCGAATGTCAGAATGACGCAACGAAATCGTACCCCTAAGGGCGCACCAATCTTCCCCACTACTACATGGTCCTGTTGGGCCCTGGGATTGGTCGGTCTCATAGTTACATCAGGCTGATTGGTGGATCGAGGAGAACCCTTTTGCCCTTTCGGCGTGTCCTCCTCCCCTACTACAGCAGCAACCCTTCGTGAGCATCCATCATCGTATCTTATGTCTACTTTCTCCCTCGCCACCCCTTTACTAAGAGCTTCCTTCGTCTCGTTCGCGCCGGGGTTGTCGAATAATGGCATGGAACCGTTTCGCTGATTCGGAGAACACGGGCTTATGCACCGCGATTGGCTCGCGCGATTTTTAATAATTATTTCGATACGCCGATATACTATTTTGAAGGGGGATTTATAGCAACGTATGTCACGCTCAGGGCTGCTGTCGCAACAATGAGATTCTATGGACTTTATCAGAAGCAATAAACTTTAGGATTTCGTTTCATACAAACTTTCCTACATTAATTGATCACAAAAGAACTTGTGCAAATTATAAAAAATATATTAGATATAGATATATGTATAATCGATTACAAACTTGTCACAAAACTGAGAATCAGGGAAATTAGGAAATTGTCAGGGAATTGAAAATGATCAGAGAAATCAGGAAAAAAAGAATTTTGCAAAATTTTTTGGAAAATAAAAATTCTTCGCTTTAAAGAAGTTTAACGTAAGTTTATGTTTATCACATCTATGCAGTTTTCGAATACAGCAACAATTAAAAATACGAGCAGTGTCAGCAATATTAATAGTAAATTACATTGTTATGTTAAAAAAAACTTAAATCAGGGAAAATTATGAAATTTTGTCTAGAAAAGTTATGGAATTTTTAAAGAAATTTGTAACCATCATGGATTAAAAAAAAAGTCATTAGGTATATAGATTGTCAAATTGGAAAGAAAAAAGCTAGAAATGATTTGTAGATATTATTAAATTTATATATTAAGTAATGAAGTTACATAAACGTAATTTCACAGCACATTTCTATAAATGCAAATGTTACCATGTAATCATAAAAATTATATAGTACACGATGTAATCATAAGAATCAATTTAACAAATGATTGATTTATCATGTCTCCTGATATTTACAGAATTACGTAAATTATATTAAATTAAATTTGATAAATTATATTTATTAATGATACTATGGATCTTAATACTTTTCATCATTGTTTCGACAACATTATCTACACATCATACTCTTTTGTTAGACTTTGTAACGATCCTTTGCGTTTACGAGGTAAACGTAAAAACACATAAATTGAAGCGAGCAATCAGCCGCGACTAAAGACAAAGAAAAAAGCTATTCCCTTACATTCTTGTGGGAAAAGTCGAAAACCATGGAGAGGTAATGTCGAAAGGGGACGAGGGTCAGCAATGCCAAAAAGTAGAAGTCGCTTAGCCATTTGGTGCCACTCTTCTCGTGGTACTTTCCCATCGACTCCCGATTCCAGGATAAAAGCTGGAGAAGAGAAACCAAAAATGGAGATAAACGCTCGCGAGAACGTTGTAAAAACGCTCCGCTGCAACGCAGGTGGGGGACTACATCCTTCGGGTCCGTCGAGGTGCTACTGGGGCTACGGGAACGATCGTTACGTAGAAGAACGTAGAAGAAGAAGAGTGAAGGAATTCAAAATCCAGTGAATATCCTGCTAGAACGCGGCGTCATTTTTCGGGGGCCCGACCCGATTTTCGCTTCTCCATCTGCGTTACCTGACGGGATGATTCCCCCGAAATCGTAAAAAAAAAAGGGAGAAAAAAGACGCAACAGGTCAGGTAGGATACCTTCAGGAAACTGGCGCGCACGCACAACATTGGAGCGGATTCTCTATAAAATTTTGCTCCGTTCAGCACGTTCTACCCCATCTGGGTGTATCTTGGGCCCTTCCTCCTTCGTCTGCGCGACCCATTACTCCCCGTACCTACTACTCCTCGTCCTTTCTAACGCGCAGAATATTGCGGCAGGTACATACGCGGCTCACACGAGGCTTTCCTTTTTCATCCACGAATTTGCATCATCCCTTCCCTTTTTTCATCGAAAATTACGCTTTTTTTCCGTGAGAATCTGTGAGCCCCTTTGCAGACTCCTCGCAAACGGTAAAGACAGTGTTAGTAGTGGGGAGATAGAAGAAGGGGTCCAAGATTTTTGGGGTGATTTCTGCCAGTTTCGATTTTACCCTTGCTCTCCTTTGTACGTTACGACGAACGACGCGTTAAAGATGGCGATTCGTATTATGTACCAGGTGCAACGTCTTTGATAACAGAAAAAGAGAGAGTGATTCGCGGATGAAACTACCATCGATTGGTTTTATTTCTTTACAACATATACGCGTGCAAAATCACATACAAACGCACATGTATTTAGAGACAGAAGAAGAAAGAAGGGGAGGTAATGCGACAGGAAGCGACGGTTTTTTTTCGGTTTTTTTCCAGTACGCGAATAACTGACGCTTTGCTCTCAACGAATCACAGGCGATAGTTTAAAAAAAAGCCAACGGATAGTCACGATAAATTTTGTTTAGAGTAGACACTCGTATCTGTACGAAAGAGAGAGATAAAGAACAGAGACGTGAATGTGAACCGCTAACGGATTTTTATTTCATAAAGTCTCGTGCGCTAGAAAGATCGGTTGCGCTAGAAAGAGATAGATCTTCAGATACAAAGAATATATTCTATATAAAAGGATTTTGGAAAGCTATTATAAAATTTAAAAAAAATGTTACGGAGCACACAGAAAGATTTTACTGGAGCAAAAATTATTCAAAAGTTTAGGTAGATGCAGATTTGAAAATAATTTCGTTGCATCAAAATAATTATATAGATAATCATCAAAATAATTATGTATTTGATATATATAATGTTGCAAAAAGCTTTGTCAATCTACCAATCAGTTTTTACATAATTATTTTTATGGTCTAACAAAATTATTTTCAGATCTGTATCTGGTTAAATTTTCATATTTCAAAACCTTCTGTCCGCATAAATCATTCTCAATAACAACTCTAACTTTTTCTATCTCTCTTTATCTCTTTTGCAAATATCTTTGATGCCATTCCTCTCGCGATTAACAAATAAAGTATAACGACTTCGCTATTAGTTTCAAACTACCAGCAAATTCACACCTGCGACCTTACAGTCGAATGAAAGGACCGGCCATTCGGATCGCCGATCCACCCGCCGATCTCGAGCCGGTATCGATTCGATATCGAGCTATACGAAAGAATGTCGCTCATCTGGAAGATCGTTATCTCCCGATGGATCTCCTCGACGTCTCTTTGTGTCGCATCTGCATACACATCGACGCACGCACACTCGCGCGCTCATCGCACGGCCGTCCATTGTGCCGTCGACGCGGTCACAATGCAGTCGCCCATGCAATTTCGAGCCATTCAAGTCCGTTTAGCGCTTTGCACGAGTGACACGGTAACCGTCTATCCATCACCCACGCACACTCGTACGAATGCGAGTCGAAAACATCGTCGTCAAGCAGAGTAGTACAAACGCAAGCGATGATACACACGGACGGCGTCGGTGGGGAAGTGCAGCTGTGGATGCAGCCCTCGTGTTATACGTGCCGCTCTTACGAGAGGTCGAGGATGCGAGGTTGCGATGGCGACCTTCGCCTTCGTCCCTTAAGAGAACTCCTCGCGTGACTTACGGCGAAAAACTACGTGGCCGATGACCCGAGCACGAGCAACCTCCAAGATCAGGAGTGTTCACCGCGTGCGAGTCACGTCCGTCAGGTGATAAAACGGCGCACAATAGCGCACCTGAAGGCTACTGAAGATTAGGCGATTTTTGGCAAAACTTATGTTAGTCTCAAAAGAAAATAGCAAAGAAATTAATCTCCTAGTGATGATCTCCTATTTATTGAATCGGAAAGTCAGACCGGAAAAATCATAAACTCGAGAACTTATTGGAACTAATTTATTATTAATTTAAATGTGTGATATTCTTTGTATATTGATACAAATAAGTTTAGAAATATATATAATTTTATAAATATATAGTATTTTGAATTAATTAAATGTAAACATCGCATTTGTTCGTGAAATTAAACGTTGCGAATACACTCTAATGAAGATAATTTCTACCAGAACAAGTCTTTCGCCCTGTTATGTGTTTTAACATGAACATTTCCTAGTTAATCTAAATT